GCTATCCCACCATGTCTCAGTAATTGCAATGAGATCATGGCCCTGGGACCACACAGAGATTTCCAGTTCTTCATGTTTATTCCCCATGCTGCGTGTGTTTGTATGCAGGCACTTCAGAGAGGTAATCAAGCATGCAGGTTCCCTAGAAGGGGTGGAAGAGGGCTCACCACAGCCATACACACCCTCAGTGTGGTTAGCCCTGTGATTTTCATCCTGAGAGGCAGTCAAGGAACATCTGTCGCTGCACTGGTTGGCATAGCCTACTCCCTGTGAGGAAGCAATGGCATGAGCGTTGCCACTTTGGACCCCATTCCGTGAGTCCTTCAGTTTAAAGCCTGTCTCACCAAATTGGCCAGCCTGCAGCAAAAAATTATCTTGCCCTTTTTAGGCAGGTGGATCCCATCCCTCCCTAACAGGCTACAATCATTGTCATAAAAACCAAAACCTTCTCAATGGCACCAACCACAAAGCCAGACATTTATGTGCACTATGTGTCTGCTTCTGGCTGTTCCCAATTCTCTAACCAGTAGGATAGATGAGAAGATGACTTAGGCACTGATATTTTGCTACTTTTAGGTTTTTCACCTGCCTCGCCAGGGCTTTATAGTCTTCCTTGACCCTATCTATTTTTTGGCTTGCGGCGTCATTTGTACCCACATGAAAAAGTAGTAGTGGGTACTAGTCCATGCTCTTGACGAGTTGGGGTACCCTCTCAGTAACATCATAGATCCTACCCCCTGGTAGGCAGCATACCTCTCGTGACTGTTTATCGGACCGGCAGATGAGGGCCTCAGTGCCCCTTAATAGAGTCACACACTATGAGCACTAAAGTTTCTTTTTATGGTAACTGCTGTGTGCTGCTGGTGTGGATTTTCTTTGTTGACCTTGCTCATGGACATCTAAAGCCTTTAAATCGCCAAATCTGTTTTTGGTCTGGATGTTGGAGGGTAGAGGTTGAATTGGAATCCTGCTTTTGTGGGTCATCAGGTTCTAAGGTGCCTCATGCCAAAGCCACATTATCTATCTCCATTTCAGCCCCTCTAATACTGTGTAGCCTATTAACTGTCATGTAATTCAGCCACCTGCTGCAACAGGTCATCAACCTGTGCATGCTTTGTGCAGGTACCAGCCTTTTCTCCAGGAGAAGCATCTGGGCATCCATTGCAGGCTACCACCTGTACTGACATCTTCCTTACCAGTTCCAGCTGGGTGGAAGCATCAGACTTCTTAGGGGCTATCTCACTAGACACACTGGTTTTGGCTCTGAGACAAGTGCTCACCATTATGGCAGAGATCTAGAGCACTTAGTTAGCACTTACCTGAGCTGTGGACCTACTTTCAGATTGCAGCACCCTCCCCATATGCCCTGCCCACGTGAACTGCAGTGTCACATCCTTCTAATGCGCCACATCCTGTTTGCTCACCCTCTTTGACACTTTCTGGGTTGCTCATGCTTTCTGGAGTTGTTTAAATCTCCCACAGTGCTCCTGGCTATGACCCCTCCTTGTCAGATTGGCTCACAAGAGCTTCTAAGCTCTGACATGGCTCTGGGCTGCTGATCAGGCTGGACTACTGATTCTTCCTTTTCCTTACCCTACAGAATCACAGAACCACTAGGTTGGAAGAGACCTTTCAAGATCTTTGAGTCCAACCCATGCCCTAACACCTCAACTAAATCATGGCACTGAGTGCCACATAGAATCTTTTTTTAAACACATCCAGGAATGGTGACTCCACCACCTCCTCAGGCAGACAATTCCAGTACTTTATCACTCTTTCAGTAAAAAACTTTTCCCTAACATCTAACCTAAATTTCCTTTGGTGCAGCTTAAGACTGTATCATCTCGTTCTGTCAGTTGCTGCCTGACACCTTCAATTCCTTTAGAATTCCTGACCTTTTCTCAACACTTTTATCATCTATCCTTTTGTCTCTAAACCAGTATTTCCTTCATATTCCATCCTAATCACTGTAGAATCATCTGCATTGGCTTTCACTAAATATGCATCACCTTTTCAGTGTATACAAATTATTGCAGCAAATTATACTTCCTTCGCCAGGCTGATCCCCCAACATTCCTTTCTGAAACCTTAAATAACTTATACTTTCAAAATAAGACTCAACTGAAAAACTCAGTCCAACAGAATCAGAAAATGCTCCAAAGTACAGTTGAAATAGTGAAACAGAAATATTTTAAATAATAACAATACAACATAACTAATACCTTATTGAAAATATATTCTTATAGAAACTATATCTAGTTTTCAAAAGTTTGAAGCAAAGATTAAAAAGAGTTAACCACAGTAAGCTTCATAGAAATCTTTACTAAGCCAAAGCAGCATAGTAGCTTAATTTAAAAAGTTAGCACCATAATAGAAAGACCTAATAGTTTTCACACAGGCAGATAGTAATAGGACAAGAGGGAATCATTTTAAACTAAAAGAGGAGAAAGTACACAAAGATAAGCTTTTAAATTCATGTTAAGTGCCCAATATTTGAATGTTTTGCTGAAACACTGCATTTTGGGGGTTTTGGGGGAGAGGGCATGTTTAAAAAAAAAAGCAAATGTATTCCAAGATACATTATAAGTAGAAGCGATATTAATGGAATTATTATGCATTATAAATTGAGTCTGTATACCAGGAAATATTATTAGTTAAATGTATGAGACAGTTAAACAGTATTGCAAAGAACATGCTGTATTGGGTTTGCATAGCCTGTTTTTTTTGGGGGGGTGGGGGGGGGGGCACAGAGGTGGCTTCTGTGAGAAGCTGCCAGAAGCTTCCACAATGTCTGCCGGAGCCAATCCCTGGGGGCTCCAAAGATGGACATGCCACTGGTCAAGGCTAGGCTAATTAGAAATTGTGGTAATGCCTCTGTGATAACATATTTAAGAAGAAATCAAAACAAAGGTTGTGGCGCAGTTGCAATTTTCAGCCAGAGAAGAGCAGAGTGAGAACATGTGAGAAGAACAACTATGCAGACACCAAGGTCAGTGAAGAAGGAGGGGGAGGAGGTGGTCCAGGCACCACAGCTAAGATTCCTCTGCAGCCTATATTGAAGACCATGGTGAAGCAGGCTGTCCCCCTGCAGCCCATGGAAAACCACGGTGATGCAGAGATCCACCCGCAACCCATGGAAGAGCCCCACACCACCTGGGAGGAAACTGTGATCCTGTGGGAGACCTGTGAAGGGAGGGGCCCTGCTCCCAGGATGGGGTTGCCTGTCCTTAAAGGACTGCACCCCATGGAAGAGTGACCTGCTTTGCAGCAGTTTGAGGGGTACTGTTGCCTGTGGGCTGGACTCACGTTGCAGCAGTTCGCAGGGAACTGTTGCTTGTGAGATGAACTCACATCAGAGAAGTTCACAGAGAACTGTCTCCTGTGGGAGGGACCCCACGGTGCAGCAGGGGAATGACTCATGACTCCTCTCCCTGAGCAGCAGAAGCCACAGGTGATGAACTGACCATAACCACCATTCCCTGTCTCCTTATGCCGCTGGGGTAGGCAGTAGAGCTGGGAAGGAGGGAGGGGTGGGGGGAATGTGTTTTTAAAGGTTAATTTTATTTCTCATTATCCCGCCCTGATTTTGTTAGTAGCAAATTCATTTTGTATCTCTAAGTTAAGCCTGTTTTGACCATGACGGTATTTGATGAGTGATCTCTCCCAGTCCTTATCTCAGTCCATGAACCCTTTGTTAAATTTTATCTCCTCTGTCCAGCTGCAGAGAGTGAGTGAGCGGCTTTCGTGGGTGCCTGGCATTTGGCCAGCATTAACCCACAACACATGCAGAAAAAAAAATCACCTTAAATTTTAAGGCTAAACATAATGCTAGAAATTTTAGTTTAGACAACAGTGATTTACTAGCACAGAAACAGACTTACATAATTTAACAAGCTATCCTCAGTTTTACTATTGTTAATTTTGAAACTGTAAAACCAAGTTATATGAAAAAAAGAACATCAGATTTCACCCAAAGAACCTGAAACAGTGACAGCTGAATGGAGGGAAAGTGGAGAGGGAGATTATGATCTCTTCTCCTTGGTATCCTGTGACAGGATGAGTAGGAATAGTTTAAAGCTGCATCAGAAAAGGTTCAGACTAGATATTAGAAAACATTTCTTTGCTGAGCGGGTGGTCAAACACTGGAACAGGTTTCCTAGAAACATGGTTGGTGCCCCAAGACTGTCAGTGTTTAAGAGGTATTTGGACAATGCCCTTAATATTATGCTTTTGGTTAGCCCTGAAGTGGTCAGGTAGTTGAAGTAGACAGTCATTGTAGATCCCTTCCAACTGGAACAAATAATTTTTTTTAAAAAAAGAAAAAAGCTAAATTATACATACTAAAGGAGTCTTGGACAAAATTCATGGCTTTTAACATTCAGTTCCTGTTTTCCAACTCCTGTTTCCCTCCTCGATCTCCCCATGCAGCACATCCTCCAATGTTGGTGGGGCTGCATAGGTAATTAATCATGTCACAGAAGTGTGTGCTGAGCTGGCTGCTTCAGAAACCCCTTTAATTCCCTGACAAATCCAAATTATGCATTACTTACAGTTTTACTTCACATGTCTTTCTGCATTTGCTCAAGAACCTGCAGGGAGATCATCTTAGAAGTACAAAATTGCATTGCTTTTATATTTTACATCTATATTGAATTTATTTCAAAAATCCATATTCCTTTCAAAAGAATAAATGTGAATATTCAGTTACTCAATGTATTTTTTATGAGATATTGCACACATTTCATAGTAATCTACTTATAGAATAATATATATATATATTTCTGGAGTTTGACAAATATTCTAGTTCAAGAAATAAACTCTGAAAACTGCATGTCTGCTTATGTAGATATGTTAGTTCCATCAAAATAAAATTGAATAAAACAGTGAAAAGGAATTGGTTTTGCAGCCTTCTACAAAATCAGTTCTTCACTACACCTATTGAAATGCATCATTCTGTCTTGCCAGGGTGTTTTGTTTTCCCAAAATTAACAGACACCTACCTGTTGCTGAACTGGTACCTGCTGTACAACCTGTGTGGGCACTACTGCCTGGCCAGCCACAGATGCTTGTAAAGTCACAGTCGAACCTGTGTCTGACCCAGACTCTGATGTCTGCATCCTGGTCTCTGAATAAAATTAAAATGTAAAATTAAAAGTTCAGCACACACTTCTTTGCTTTTTTTCACTTATTCAGATCTTAAAAGAAGCATATTCACCCCAAATCAAATCTGGGGATTAGCTAAAGATTGTTTCATGTACTATTACATGAGTACACTGATATATTCTTTTTCATTTTTTAAAATGTTGCTTTGGCCTAAAATATTAGAAAATTCATATAATATATAATATAATATATAATATATAATATATAATATATAATATATAATATATAATATATAATATATAATATATAATATATAATATATAATATATAATATATAATATATAATATATAATATATAATATATAATATATAATATATAATATATAATATATAATATATAATATATAACATATAACATATAATATATAACATATAATATATAACATATAATATATAACATATAATATATATTATTACTTTGTCTAATCTAAGGCCTGCTTAGAGCTTGCAGCACATCAAGAAGAGAATATGCTTTGGACTTCACGATTTTTTTTCTAACAGTTTACAGTCTGCTTTGTAATAGCAAATACATTTATCAAGTCAGAAGCAAGGTGCACACAAACCTATTTGCTGCTTTAAAGTAAAGAATTTTAGAAAAACATCTGTTCACAGGCCTGATTCTTCTCTAACTACACTTGTATGCATAAGCTGTAACTATTATTAAATTTTGAGAGGAGACTCAAAACCTTTTACCATATTAAGACAACACACTTTAAGCTACCTATATGCACAAACATAATTAGTTCTAGAAGCTGCACATATAAATGATTACTTCTTAATTAAGTATGCCTTCACAAAAAGACTTGCTATCCTCAATGCAAAAAACTGAATTATGGAAATATTTCAAACTTAGTAATCACAATTCTAAAGAACAAAAAGAGTAATTTATGTAGTAATCACAGTACAAGTAAATTATAGTACCTTCAATATCATCAGTTTTCAGAAAGAACTAATATGCACCGAATAAAATATACTGCAAGAACACAATGGGTAAAATATGCAATACCAGAAAGAAATTTCTCTTTCCATTTTCTTCCTTGAATCAGTTAAAATCCTTATGTACTAAAATATTAAAAGTTTTCTCTTACCTTACTTGCCCTCAAGATATTTAATAATGCAAATCAACAGAAACTTTTCTCACTTATTTATGTGACTTCAGGAACAACTCATTAAAATCAGAAATAAGTCAAAGTCATTCCATCAGCTTGTAAATGACTACACATTCTTCAAAGCTGTCCTTCCTCTGGTTTACTGAGTTGCACTATAAATTTTTCATATTCAAATGCTGAGTTAAAGCTCTGGTAGGTGATAGAATGAGGGGCTTCAACCTGAGAAGAAGAACCTGGAAAGCATTTTAAAGGTGAAAAAGTGACTCAAGTAAGCTTTTTAGCAGATAGTGTCAATGTAATCGCTAGAGTTATAAACAGGGATTTTACCCCTACATGAGGTTGTGGCACTGACATTTTTAAGTGGAATATTCAAAATTTGGATACAGCACAGAAATGGTCCAACAGTTAAGGAAAATGCCTTACAAAGAAAACCTATTTAGAGTATCATAAAGAAGACTAAAGCTGACTTACTCTGTTGGGTTTGTGTGGCCAGGTTTTGCAAACTGGGGGAGGGGGCTACAGGGGTAGCTTCTGAGGGAAGCTGCAAGAAGCTTCCTCCATGTCTGACAGAGCCAAACCCAGACAGCTCCAAGATGGACCCACTACTGGCCAAGGCTGAGACAGACACTGATGGTAATAACACATTTGTTATAATATATTTAAGAAGGAAAAAAAAAAGGTATTGCATAGAAGTAATTGCAGTTCAGAAAAGAGTGGAGTGAGAACATGTGAGACAAGCAACTCTGCAGGCACCAAGGACAGTGAAGAAGGAGGGGGAGGTGCTCCAGCTGAGATTCCTCTGCAGCCTGTGGTGAAGACCATGGTGAAGCAGCTGTGCCCCTCCAGCCCATGGAAGAGCCCCACATTATGTCTGAGAGGAGGCTGTTACCCTGTGGGAGGCCCACGCTGGAGCAGGGTCCTGGTAGGGACCTGCGGACCCATGGAGAGAGGAGCCCACACTGGACCAGGTTTGCCGGTAGTACTTGTGACCCTGTGGGGGACCCACAGTGGAGCAGGTTGTGCCTGAAGAACTGCACTCCATGGAAAGGGATCCACACTGGGGAAGTACCTGAAGAACTGTAGCCTGTGGGAAGGACTTATGTTGGAGAAGTTTGTGGAGGACTGTCTCTTGTGGGAAGGACTCCATGCTGGAGCAGGGGAAGGACTCCGATTCCTCTCCCTGAGCAGCAGCAGGAACAACGCATGATGAACTGACTCTAATTCCCTTTCTCTGTCTCCCTGTGCTGCTGCGGGGGGGGGGAGAAGGTAGAGCCCAGAAAGGAGGGAGAGGTGGAGGGAAGGTGCTTTTAAGATTTGTTTTGCTTCCCATTGACCTGGTCTGATTTCGATTGGTAATAAATTCAATTAATTTCCCCAAGTTGAGTCTGTTTTCCCTGTCATAGTAATCAACAAGTGATCTCTTCTGGTCCTTAATTCATGAACCTTTCATTATATTTTCTCTCCCCTGTCTAGTTGAAGAAGGGAGTGATAGGGCGGCTCTGGTGGGTACCTGGAATCCAGCTAGGGTCAAATGACCACACTTATACATAACAGGAATTTGAGTAATCTTCAGTTTTGCACAGAATTACAGAATTGTTTAGGTTGGAAGGAACCTTTGGAGACCATCTAGTCCAACCCTCCTGATCAAAACAGGGTCACCTAGAACAAGTTGCCATGTTCAGTTGGGTTCTTAATACCTCCCAGGATAGACACTCCACAACATCTTCGTAAAACCTGCTATAATTCTTGACTAACCTCACAGTAAAAAAGTATATTTGAGTATTCAGATGGAATTTCTGGGGTTTTTTTCCATGCATGCCCATTGCCTCCTGTCCTGTCAATGAGCACTACTGAGAAGGGTCTTGCTCCCTCATCTTCACTCCCACCCATCAGGTATTTATGCACAGTGATAAGGTCCACCCTGAGCCTTCTCTTTCGAAGTTGAATAGTCTCAGATCTCTCACCCTCTCCTCATATGGCATATGCTCCAGTACCTTAAGCATCATTGTAGTCCTTAGCTGCCATTGCCCTTTCTTGTACTGAGGAGCCCAGAACTGAACATGTGACCTCACTAGCACTGAGTAGAGAGGAAGGATCTACCTCAAATACTAGCAATGCTCTTCCTAACGCAGCCAGGGATACTACTGGCCTCTTTTGTCATTAGGGTGCATTGCTGGCTCATGTTCAGCTTCTTCTCCATCAGGACACATTTTCTTCTCCCCAAAGCTACTTTCTAGCTAGTCATCCTGCAGCCTGTACTGGTGCCTGGGGTAAATCCTCCCCAGATGCAGGACTCTTAATTTCCACCTGTTGAATATCATGAGATCCTTCTCTGCCAGTTCTTTAGAGTGTAAAGATCTCTCTGAATGGCACAAGAGACATCTGGTCTATCAATGGCTCCTCTAAATTTCATATCAGTTGCTGGGGTTGTTCAGCCTGAAAAAAAGAAGACTCCAGGGAGATCTTAGAATGGCCATTTAACACTTAAAGAGGGCTTCTAAAAAATATGGAAGGAGACTTTTTGCCAGGGTTGGTAGTGACAGGAAAAGTGGCAATGGTTTTCAACTAATTTAGATGAGAAAGTGATTTAGATGATCTAGTGAAAGGTGCCCTTGTCCATGACAACAGTTTGCTGATGATACCAAACTGGGAGGACCTGCTGAATCTCTTGAGGGACAAGAGGCCATGAAGAGGGATCTGAATAGCCTGGAGCAATCACCAATGGCATGAAAATTAAAAAGTCCAAATGCCAGATTCTGCACCTGTGACAGAGCGATGCCAGGCACAATTATAGATTGGGAGAATAGTGGCTGGAGATCAGCCTTGCAGAAAGGGATCTGGGGGTGCTGGTTGACAGGAAGCTCAATATGAGTCAGCAGTGAGCCCTGGCAACCAAGAAGACAAACCTCATCTTGGGGGGCATTAGGAACAACCTGACTGTAAAGGGATTCCCTGCTCATGACAGCGGGGTTGGACCTTTAAAGGTCCCTTCCAACTCAAACCATATGATGATGATTCAGAGAGCTATAGCCTGTCCAACTACTGATGGTAGAACCCTCATTCACGCCTGTAGTTGACACCACAGGCCCCAGGGTGCCTATACCGCCCAGTCTGACTCCAGTAGCTGTGCACCAAATTTCACTCACACAAACACGGGTCTCACCAGCAGCTGGCACCTGTTCCTTTCAGCACGCATACTGTCCTAGTTTCAGCTGGGATAGAATTCATTTTCTTCTCAGTAGCTGGTACAGCACTGTCTTTCAGATTCAGTATGAGAATAATGCCGATTACACAGATGTTTTGGTTATTGCTGAGCAGTGCTTACCCTGAGTCAAGGGCTTTTCAGTGTCTCATGCTCTGCCAGGGAGGAGCTGCACAAGAAGCTGGGAGGAGCATACTCCAGACAGCTGACCTGAACTGCTCAAAGGGATAGTCCTTACTATAGAACATCATGCTCAGTGAATAAACTGGAGAGAGTTACCCAGAAGGGGCCAATTGCTGCTCAGTCAGCGGGTGGTGAGCATTTGTATTGTGCATCATTTCTTTTTCTTGGGTTTTACCTTCCTCTCTCTCTAATATTAAAACTGTTAGCAGTAGTATTAGTATTACCATATTGCCATCATTATTATCATATTTTACTTTGTTTCAATTATTATACTGTTCTTATCTCAACCCATGAGTCGAATTTTCTTTCCTGATTCTCCTTCCCATCACAATGGGGATGGGGGCAAAGGGAAGTGAGCGAGCAGCTGTGTGTGGTATTTAGTTGTCAGTTGGGCAACACATACACAGAGGACAGAGAGTGAGATTAAGCAGGGCGATAGTTAAGAAAACATTTTAAAAGAAAATGTAA